TTTGTATTACCTTTAAGTTGTCTAGTAATGACTTCCTCTTAATCAGATATATTTGTACTTAACACTTTGTAAGCGAGCGTGGAAAGTACTTAGTTAACTCCCTATATACAAGCGAGAGTGATAAGTAGATTTATAGATTTTTAACTCATTATCAAATTATGATCAAACATTTCACATTTGTGTACAATTGTGATTAAAAATTATTTGATTCAAAATAATTTTATTCTTAATCCATAGAGTTTGCTGGATAAAACTTAAATTTCGCTTAAAACAATTTTCGTTTAATTTGTTCACTTACTTTTCAACTTTTTTTTTTTTTTGCTTAAATTGATTCACTGAGCCATGAAATTTTTACATTTATGTACGAGTAGTTTCAAACAATTTGTTCGTGTCACAGTGACTTGATTTTAATGTTGTTGGTTTTAATGTTTGAATTAAAAAAAATATTAGAATTAATTAATTAATTTATTCATTTACTTTTACAGCTTGTTTTTTTTTTTTTTTGTACATAAAATATATGGGGGGATTTTTCGAATCGCGTGCCAATTGTAATTGTTATTTAAATAAGTGTCACATTTATAAAGATAAGAAATAAAGGAAACGTGATTGAAAAAGAGACCATTTCAATATGTATTTTTTCCAATAAATACATTCCCAGCAAAAACTGGGTAATAGCTTTCAATTGTAATTACTTACCTAACAACATACTTTTCAATGACTACTTATCGCCTGGATTACATAGAAGTGGTCTAATAAGGTCTTACTAATAATGTATTATATAAATACTTTCTAATTCATTAGTCATCTTGCCAGTAAAGATATAGAAGCTGTATACGTTTTTTCATGCGATTTACAATGACTACTTTTTCTAATTACTTGTAATCGTTTGTGGTAAGTACTTGCCTCCAATGACATCACCGTGTTAAAATAATGACTTAAAATGCTATTATGTAAGTAAATTTTAGCATTTTAACCCCTTATATGGTAATGAAAGTTTTTACTGGGTTATAAAACAATATTACCACAATTAATTAATTGTCTTTAAAGAGAAACGTGCCATTTCGCAAAAGGGATAAATTACTAAAAAATTTTTCAGTTTTCTTAATCGAATTGAAATTCAAATCCCTTTTATTTATTTTTATCCTATTTATTTTTTTAAACTTTCACCTTCGTGAGAAGGATTTATGAAAGATTGTCATTCCGTTTAAAACTTTCACAATATAATTTTTCGGGCCTACTAAGCATATATTCAGAGTCTATCTGTATGTCTGTCTGTGTGTCTGACTGTCTGTCTGTTTGTCTGTCTGTCTGTCTGTCTGTCTGTCTGTCTGTCTGTCTGTCTGTCTGTCTGTCTGTCTGTCTGTCTGTCTGTCTGTTCTGTCTGTCTATCTATCTATCTATCTATCTATCTATCTATCTATCTATCTATCTATCTATCTATCTATCTATCTATCTATCTATCTATCTATCTATCTATCTATCTATCTATCTATCTATCTATCTATCTATCTATCTATCTATCTATCTATCTATCTATCTATCTATCTATCTATCTATCTATCTATCTATCTATCTATCTATCTATCTATCTATCTATCTATCTATCTATCTATCTATCTATCTATCTATCTATCTATCTATCTATCTATCTATCTATCTATCTATCTATCTATCTATCTATCTATCTATCTATCTATCTATCTATCTATCTATCTATCTATCTATCTATCTATCTATCTATCTATCTATCTATCTATCTATCTATCTATCTATCTATCTATCTATCTATCTATCTATCTATCTATCTATCTATCTATCTATCTTATCTATCTATCTATCTATCTATCTATCTATCTATCTATCTATCTATCTATCTATCTATCTATCTATCTATCTATCTATCTATCTATCTATCTATCTATCTATCTATCTATCTATCTATCTATCTATCTATCTATCTATCTATCTATCTATCTATCTATCTATCTATCTATCTATCTATTATCTATCTATCTATCTATCTATCTATCTATCTATCTATCTATCTATCTATCTATCTATCTATCTGTCCCTCTGCCTGTCCGTATGTACATATGTATTTTAAAACAAGTTATCAATAGGTCCCAGATATCTGTGATATTCAAATCTTCAATAACTTTATCATAAATGCTTTCCATAAGTTATTTATTTTAAATCAGCAAAAATCGTTCCATAAATTACCGATATATCAGCTAAATTCTAAGTTTTAGAATCAAACCAATATTTAATACAAAAACTTAAATTTTCTACATTTTTCAATCATTACGTTACCTATTCGATTTAACTAATTAATAATTCTCTACACTCTCCGGAATGAATGCGACAGATACCCTCGTGCAGTAACCTCCAACCTTTAAGATATCAAATATTTAAATATGAATAAAATCTGTACCCATATGTATATATTACAAAACTATTTACCTTCTTGAGGTTTTTGACATTTTCTTACACCCAATCTACAGGAATTACTAAATGTACACTGTAATCTTAAGCTTGTTGCAATTCCACATACAGGACGATATAAAGTAATACACATATCGGGACAACGTTGACAAAAAGTCGTAGAAATTGTCAGAAATATTATTACAAATATAGATTTCAACAACATATTGAATTTTAATGATTTTTTGGAATAAGAATTCGTTTATTTATAGTAGAATTATGATCATTGTAAAATTTTTATTCTTAAACATTGCTCAGCTTAATTCAATTTAAGGTCATTGTACTTATATTAATAACCTACATTTTATTGTCTGATTTAAAGTAATATTAATTAATAATAATATTTTTTTATTTATGTCTTTTCAGGTATTTACTTAATTGCAATATTATTTTGTACAATTGCTTTGTAAGTAAAACGCATGTTTTTATTTTTCTGATATGTTTTTGATATCAGCAACAATAACATTTTTAACATTTTTATAAAATTCTGAGAGATACGAGAAAGGCAGTAATATTTTAAAGTCATTCAATCACACATAAATAACACTGGAATTGAGGTTTAAAAGCTACAGGATTATTCAGCTACAGCTATATCACATGCACCAACCTTTAAGAAAATGTATGCTGAAATACACATGCATATGTAATTGTATTAGAAATATAATCAAGAAAACTGTTTATTAAGATTTTTTAAACATTTTGTCAAAAAGCTTTCTTTGATACAATCGGAAAATAATTTTCTATCAAGACCCGATATCATACTTTTCTATCTATCAAAACTTTCTAACTTTCCAATATTTTTCCATAGAAAATTTCTATTTAACAAAAATTTGACAAACAATTTTCCATTGAAAAGTTTGTCGAACAGTTTTTAAGGAAAATTATTGATTAGTTATCTTTAGAAAATCTATATGTATACTTTTTTATAAATCCAATCAGTTTTTTGAAGAAAACTTTTGTTTATATAGAGAAACTTTATATAACAGTTTTCTAAAAGAAAAATTGTAGTACAGTTTTCTATAGAAAACATTATGGTATTTAAAACTTTATCAACCATTTCTCAATAGGAAACTTTATTAAGCATTTCTCTATAAAACATCGAACAGATTTCTATAGAAAACATATACCGGACAGTTCCCTATAGACAAAATTATCGAACAGTTTTCTTAGAAAACATTTATCAAAAGTTTACTATGGAAAAATGTTCGACAAAACTTTTATCGGTAGGTTTTCAATAAAAAACTTTAATCGAATAGTTTTCTATAGAAAAAATTTATCGAACAGTTCTCTATAGAACACTACTATCAAACACTGTTAGATAAAAATTTCTATAGAAAAATTTTATTGTAGTTTCCTCAGAAAAATTTTATCGAACAGTTTTCTATAGAAAATTCACTTCCGAAAATCACTTAAATGCACATATTTCATTGTCAAATAAAGCTATCTCGATAAAATTCGATACAAATATGTTGTGTGTATGAATTACTAAACGAAATTATTTCCGGATAGGCTCGTAATTGGTCATAGCACCCATATAAGGTCCACTTCCGAAAATCACTTAAATTCATATATTTTTTTGAATAATAAAGCTATGGGGATAAAGCTTGACTTGAATATGATTTGTGTACATTCTAACGATTTTTTCCCGAATCGGTCCATAATTGGTAATGGCTCCCATTTATGTCCACTTCCGAAAATCACTTAAACGCACATATTTCATTGCCAAATAAAGCTATTCTAATAAAATTCAGCACTAACCCGTTTTGTTTGTATATGAATCACTGTGCGAAATTTTTTTCCGGTAATTGGTCATAGCTCCCATATAAAGTCCATTTCCGAAAATCACTTAAACGCACATATTTCATTAATTAATTATTGGGGTAAAATTCGACTTAACTTTGTTTTGTGTGCATATAAATCATATTTTTTTCGGATCGGTCCATAATTGGTCACAACTTCCATATAAGGACCATTTCCGAAAATTACTTAAACGCACAAAGTTATCGAGACATAATTGTGTATTTTGTATATGTAAATCATTATACGGAATTTTTTCCGGATCGGTCCATAATTGGTATTAACTCCCATATAAGGTTCACTTCTGAAAATAACTTAATACTACATAATTAATTATTAAATTATTATATCCGGATAAAATTCGACACGAGTATGTTCTGTGTATAGATAAAGCATCCTGCTAAAATGTTTTAGAACTGGCCTATTATTGGTCATAGCTCCGTTATAATGTAATCAACATCGTTTCAAAAATCACTTTAATGAATTTAGTTCATTAAAAAAATATCGAAGTTGGAGTAAAACTTAACAGGAAAATGTTTTGTAAATATATAAATCATTCTCCTAAATTGTTTGGCATCGACAAGATCTGTGCATAATAAGTTATAGCACCCGTACAAGGCCCACATCCGAAAATCACCGAAAATCAAATTTTCCAATTTGACTCATAACAAGCAGTAATTTTTGAAAAACAACATTAAAATTTTTACAATTTTTAATTACAAATTACGGTTATTTTTAATTTGTTCGTTACATTTTTATTGTAGTTTTTAATCACAACATTTAATTGAATATACTATTTACAATGAATTTTATGGAAAATGCAATAATACTTAATACAGTAATTGAGGTTTGAAAAGTTTAGGCCGCTACTGCTTGATCACACTCACCAATATGTAAGAAAATGTATGCTGAAATATATTTTTAAAATTTATTCAAAATAAGTATAGTTTATTAATATATTAAAATAAAAAAATCTATAATTGTTCTATAGAAAATTTAGAAATGTAAAAAAAGCTTTCTATATAGGGAAAAGCGAAAAACTTTTCTGAAAGTTTTCTATAAACATTTTGTCAAAAATCTTTCTTTAATAAAATTGGCAAGAAATATCCTATTACAAATCCTTAAAGTTTTCTATCGAAAAGTTTTCTATATGAAACGTTATCGATAAAAACTTTCTTCGAACAATATTCTATAGAAAACTGGTCGATTGATTTTTTATAGAAAACTTGTCGAAAAGTAAACTTATCAAATAGTTATCTCGACAAAAACCTGGAAAAGAAAACTGATAAAATATTTGTCTACACGAAACTTGTCGAAAAGTTTTAAAATGAAAAACTCTTCGAAAAATATAAAATGTTTTATGAAACAACTAGTGTACCCTGGGTGCTTCGCTACCCAATGAAAATTAAGTATAAAATTTGTATTACTTTTATAGTTAAGTACTAAAGTACCAAAAATCTCCGTTTTATAAATTCTCATTTTATAAGAACCGTGTGTCATTTGTTTCAGATCCCCACATCCGTCTTGCGGATTCAGTCAGTACTCTGCATGTTCAATATTATAGTACCATTTTAAGGACGAAAAAGTACCAAACAGTACTCTATTAAAGAAGCTCATTCAGTGTTTGTTTTGGCTTCATAATATAGAATATACAAAAAATACCATTTGAAGAAGGAAAAGTACCAAAAAGTCATATCTGATAGATTTTTTATTTAATCATGCTAAATTTTATGTTTCTAGGTTCAATTTAAAGAAAATACAAAAACTACCATTTGATGAAGTACCAAAAATTCAAAAATATCAAACATTGCTTGAATTTGGTCCTATATAGGCCCTAGTTCCCGAATTTCAAAATATTATATCAAGAGTTTATTTTGTGTGCGTAAATTAAATATTTTTTTCAAATTTTATAAAAATTGCCTCAATGAGTTTGAATGAAATTATATTTCCCTTATTCCCCTTTTTGGTACTTTTTTCTTCCAATGAAATAGAAACTATTTTATTTCCATAAATATTACAGAGTTAGTCCGCAATTTAATAGGTATACGTTAATAAATCGAAAAAGTTTTTTTAATGTACTAAAAAAGTACCAATAATACAGGACCAAAAAAGGTACCAAAATCACCTTTGTTACTCATTTTCACCCCCTGAAAAGTACGAATTTCAAAAAAGTACCAGTCACATTAAACATTTTTTTGTATCACTAATATTGTGTAAGATAATTAAGAAAACCAGTTTTACCTGTTTTTCCCCTTTTTACCCCTAAATGTACAAATTTCCAAAAATTCCTCTTTAGTGGATCTACATAACCAAAATCATATCCACTATTAAAATTTCATGACCCTAGGTTCAGCCTCAGAATAATATTTTCTAGAAAAGTGAATATTTTTCTATAGAAAAATTCTAAAATAGAAAACTAGTCGAAAAAGTCCAGATTTTAATGAACACACCATTAAAATATTCCTCAAATGCATTTGATTTGAATTCACTTACATTCATTCTTCTGGCAACTGTGTCTATAAAAATCACATTCATTGAAAAAAGTCTTATAGGCATTATCGTACTCCCCACAAACCGGAGTATATTCCTCAGTGCACATCTCATGGCAATGCTTTTTGCATTCATCCTCCGTAACGACCTTGTATTCTGAAAACAACAAAAACACAAAAATCTATAATTTACTTAACAAAATACACATTCCAATGCCCATACCTTCTTTATTTTTAGCTCTTCTCAAACACATTTCATTAGCAAATATACAAGGGTTTCTAAATAGATAACACTGTTGCTCATCTGATGCCCAGACAATATCTTCTTTTGTTGAACATTTTCTTTGTATAGAACAGTTTATTTCCTCATCGTCGGTCTTACTAAAGCAGGGATTGATAAGGTAGATGGTTAAAAACAGAGTTATAGTTAACTTAAAATAAAACATTTTTATATATTTATTAATTTAAAAATTTTCAGTCTGTTTGTTGATAAATCGTTTTAACTACTAAAACCTATTTGATTTTGCTAAAGTCGTTTTATAGATGTTACTAAAATAACTTTATTTTTTTCCTTTTTATTTGTTTATATAATTTCTCATAAAATAGGGGGAATTTTTTTTTATAAATATTGTTTTGTTAGAATTTTAAAATAATTTTTAATAAATATGTATATAAAACGAGTTTAATTTGTACGTGTTTTTGTTGTTTTTTTTCTGTATGCAAACAAATGTTATTGTTTGTTTGGTTAAAGCATTTAGGGTATTCAATATAATTTTAGGCAATTTTTGTTAAAAGTAAATGCCATCAATTTCTGATTATAAAATTTAAAAAAAAAGTTATCAATTAACTCTTGAAATGGTTTATCTATAGGTAGTAATTTTGTTTATTATTTGTGTAGTATTTTTTTATAATTCCATATAAAACATTAAACAGTGAATACCCTTATTGGTAATATGATGAGTAGGTATCATTTTAATAAATTACTACTTATGTATGTGTAATAATACACCAACTGCCAAACGATTATTATTAATTATTAAAACAAACATTTTAAAAATAAATACCTTATAAACAGTTGTTATATTTAAATTTTATCACATTAATATTTCTACATACTTTACGTTTTACACTCTCCAAAAATTGAATAAAGTTTATAGCCAGTAAGAATGCTATGCGGAATCTATTTGACTTTTTGACAAGGAAATATAGCGTAATATCCCCACGACATTTTAAATATATGTATATGTACTAATAATAAAAAATTGTTCCAAATAGTCCATAGACTAGTTAGTAGATTAGGATATAGACTATTTCGGGGACTTGTAAAAATGAGTCGTTATTATTTTGGTCAATAAACAAGTCAAATATATGTAGGAGTCCAAATACTAGTCAAAAAACTAATCGATTAAGCAGACCAAAGATTTGTCTATAGTAACTACAGTCATTAGACTTGTTAAAACAGTAATTCATAGACTAATTAATGAACTAGTTCATATCTCATTGGCTCTCTAATATTAGTCCATATTCTTGTCAATTGACTAGTTCTTAGACTAGCCAATAGAGAAATCAATAAACCAGTCCATAGACTAGTCAATTGACTAGGTCAAATATTTACTAACCCATATCATCCAATCAATAGACTAATCCATGGACCAGCCAAAAGAGCACTTCATATACTAATCAATAAATTAGTTCATAGACTATTTAATAAGTAGACTAGTTAATTGACAGTTAATTGACTAATGAATAGACTAGTCAGTAGAGAAGTCCCTTTAATATTGACTATTGCCAATAGACTAATCGCTTGACTAGTCCAAAAACTAGTCTATAGGCCAGTCAATAGACTTGTTCATGTAGTAGTGAACTAATAAATAAACTACATCATATACTATTTAATAGACTGGTCCATAAACTAGTCCATAGAGAAATATATAGGTCGACCAATACACAGGCTCTATATATAGTCTAGTCCATCCACAGAAAGAATAATCACATACTAAACTTTAACTTTTTATACCCTACACTACTTTATTGGGGAGGGTATATAGGGTTTGTGCTGATGTTTGTAACGCACAAGAATATTGGTCCTACACCCACCTTAAAGTATATCAATCGACTTAGAATCATTATATCCTACACCAATTTAGTGGGGATGGTATATTGGTTTTGTGCTGATGTTTGTAACGCACAATAATATTGGTCCTGAGTCCGTCAGTCTGTCCGTCCGTCCATGTAAACCTTGTTTTTCAATGAAATTTGGCACATGATCTTCTATTGTCCCAGGGACGAACCCTATTGAAAATGGTTAAGATTGGTTCATTATTTCACCTAGCCCCCATACAACTGAACCCCTGAATAGGGCTTGTAAACCCTTTAATCAAACTACAGGTCGCAATTTTGAAGGAAATTTAATGAAATAATTGAAAATGGTCAACATCGGTCCATTATTTCACCTAGCCCCCATACAACTTTTGAAGATAATTCAATGAAATTTGGTATCGGAAACAAAGCCTATTGAAAATGGTTAACATCGGTCCATTTTCTCACCTAGCCATACAACTGAACCCCCAAATAGGGCTTGTAAACCTTGTAATCAAACTACAGGTCGCAATTTTAAAGGTAATTCAATGAAATTATTGAAAATGGTCAACATCGGTCCATTTTCTCACCTAGCCCTCATACAACTGAACCCGACGAATAGGGATTTTAAGTTCATAATTATGTTTAATATACTCGTATCTCGTCAAAAAGCTGCAAAACCAAGTTCTATACTAGCCTTGATGACTCTCATGAATTATATAATTATAGGGTCTGATTTGACCATAGCCCCTATACAAATATCCCTTCAAAATTTGACTTAAATCAATCTACAGGTCGTAATTTTAAAGATAATTCAATGAAATTTGGTACGTGATCTTCTATTGTCCCAGGGACGAAGCCTATTGAAAATTATTAAGATTGGTACATTATTTTACCTAGCCCCCATACAAGTGAACCACCAAATAGGGTTTGTAAACCTTGTAATCAAACTACAGGTTACAATTTTGGAGATAATTCAATAAAATTTGGTACATTATATTCTATTACCCCAGGAACGATGACTATTTAAAATGGTTAAGATCGACCGATTATTTCAGATAGCCTTATTATTTCAGGTTTCTTACTTGTTTTTTGTGTATATTAGTCATTAGATTAGTCAAGAGATTACTGAAAATATCAGTTCACATACTAGTTAATAGACAAGTCCACAGACTAGTGAATATATACTAATCAAAAGACTAGTATCAATTGACTAGTTCATAGACTACATAGTACATAGACTAGTAAGTAGATTAGTCAATAGACAAGTCCATAAACTTGTCTATATATCGCACTTATCAATAAATTAGTCAAAATTCTTGTCAAAATCAATCAATCAATCAATCAAGAGAGAAGTAGTCAATGATCTAGTCGATAGGTTTACAAAATATATCATCTTGATGTACTTATTTCTCCATCATGTCGTTTGAGAGGAAGATTTAGCATTTGAGGGCAATTCTTTTACATCACTGATTCCTTACTTTCTGACAACAACAACAAACTAACTAAGCAATAATTAAATAAACAACTAATTTCACTTATATTGATCTTTAATTTACAATTAAGTCATTTACAATAAATAACAAAAGAATTTTTTATCTTAACTGTAAACAGAAATTGACGTCTGTTTTAGCCTTTATTATAGATTCTATATATAAAGCTCTGTAACAATTTCCAACACTTTTTAATAGCAAAAAGATATTTCTAACATTCAGAATCATGAATTTGTTAGTAAAACTTTGTGTTTCTTTTGGTTTAATCCTTTTAAGTTTATATTTTATCAGTGCTAAACCACTTGATGAATATACATGTGGTGATATTTGTACCGAGAACTATGATCCTCATTGTGTAATATTTAAAAATGGTACGGTGGCAGAGTTTACTAATGAATGTAAATTAGAATTGGAAACTTGTAAACATAAATATGGTAAGTTGAAGAAATATATGGAAAAATTTACTTATAGCCTTAATAACTATAAATTTTTTTAGAATTCCTAAAAACTAGGAGCGGAGCTTGCATTCGGGTGGGTTAATAAAGCTAGATACAAAACTATTTTAATGTAGAATCTGAGAAACGGCAGTAACTAAATTTTTGAGAAAATTACAATATCATTTAAAATAGATTTTTGGATTATAATCGATGTCAACATAATTATAAATTAATAAATTTTATGCAAAATATTAAATGATTTAATTTTAATATCAGTTTAACAAATATGAAAGAATAGTGGGCCAATGCCGACTATAGGATAAACAACACCAGTTATAAGTTTTCAAAATAGTTTCCTAGCTCGTTTTTCCCATATTAGAACCTTAAGTACAAAAACGAATTTCTATGGATATCTGCTATAATGCTCCGCTTGACCAAAACATTATACTTATGATCAGTGCCTCAAAGTTCCCGACAAATTCTGGTTCGTTTTTCCCAGATTAGAACCATGAGAAAAAAACAAATTAATAGGGATATCTGCTCTAATGTTCCGCTTGACCAAAACATTCTATTTGTGATCAGTGCCTCAAAGTTCCCGACAAATTCTGTCTCTTTTGTGTAATCGAGCACGTCTATATATGTATGTTTCAGTTGGTAAGATTCATTGGTATAGCTCACGACGTTAGTTAGTTAGTTAGTTAGTTAGTTAGTTAGTTAGTTATTTAGTTAGTTAGTTAGTTAGTTAGTTAGTTAGTTAGTTAGTTAGTTAGTTGTTAGTTAGTTAGTTAGTTTAGTTAGTTAGTTAGTTAGTTAGTTAGTTCTTAGTTAGTTAGTTAGTTAGTTAGTTAGTTAGTTTTTATTAGTTAGTTAGTTAGTTCGTTAGTTAGTTAGTTAGTTAGTTAGTTAGTTAGTTAGTTAGTTAGTTAGTTCGTTGTTAGTTTTTAGTTCGTTAGTTCGTTAGTTTCGTTCGTTAGTTCGTTCGTTCGTTTAGTTAGTTAGTTCGTTCGTTAGTTTCGTTCGTTCTTGTTCGTTCGTTAGTCGTTAGTCGTTCGTTCGTTTTCGTTTCGTTAGTTAGTTAGTAGTTCGTTCGTTCGTTAGTTCGTTCGTTCGTTAGTTCGTTCGTTGTTCGTTCGTTCGTAGTTGTTAGTTCGTTCGTTCGTTCGTAGTTCGTTCGTTAGTTAGTTAGTTAGTTAGTTCGTTGTTAGTTCGTTCGTTCGTTAGTTAGTTAGTTAGTTCGTTAGTTCGTTCGTTAGTTCGTTAGTTCGTTCGTTTCGTTCGTTCGTTCTTTTTTCGTTCGTTCGTTCGTTAGTTCGTTCGTTGTTCGTTCGTTCGTTCGTTCGTTTTCGTTCGTTCGTTCGTTTCGTTGTTCGTTCGTTAGTTCGTTTTAGTTCGTCGTTCGTTCGTTCGTTCGTTCGTTCGTTTCGTTCGTTCGTTCGTTCGTTCGTTCGTTCGTTCGTTCGTTTCTCGTTCGTTGTTCGTTTTCGTTCGTTCGTTCGTTCGTTTCGTTCGTTCGTTCGT